ACTCCTTTTCTGCCTCTTGCTTAGTGGCTGCTTGGGAGGCTTTAAGAGAGGGAAGTGTTAAAATGTCTCAGGCAGTCCTGAAGTGGAACCAGCTTGTATCTAATTGGCCCCAAGTAGCATTGTCTCAGCTAATTGGTCTCAGGCAGTCCCTTGTCAGCTGACTCTGATTCAGCTGCAGTAGCCCACTTCTAGTTAACAAGGGAGTGGGCCTTTTAATCTCCTAGGCCTGCCTTTCTCCCCTCTTTTCCCTTTGTCCTAACTGTGTCTTTGTATGTATATATAAAATTACTTATGCCATGTAATTTTTATGAAGTATAACAATGTAAAGTAGTGATGACCATTGAAATATATAGTTATCAAATTAAAATGCAATAACTCTTCCAATGACCTTTAAACATTATTGAATGAAATATTGAGGTAATACAGTCATATCAATACTGTTAATTTATAAAGGATAACATTATTGTAGTCCTAAAAAACAATTTTATAGAAAACCAAAATATATTCCTCTTTTTTAACTGATATTTAAAAGGTTTGTTACACATTTCTGAACAGATATTGGTTACACTGTGAATAAAATATCTCCATTTCATATCTACTGAAAGTAAACAAGTACATTCAAGTAGTGACCCCTCCTGCACCTCAACTCCATGTCCCAGGCTCAGCTCAGAATCCCTCTCACACTCCAAATCCTATAGCCCAAGATCAGAATCTGCATCCCCCTCCCCTGCAGCCCAACCCTCTGCCCCAAGCCTGATAAAAGTGTGTGAGGATTGCGTGAACAGGGGTGAGGCCTTAGAGAAGGACTGATAAAAGTGTGAACAGGGGTGAGGCCTTAGAGAAGGGCTGAGAAGGAGGCGGGGCAAGCGTGTTTGGGTTTTAAAAGGTGATCTCATACTTAAAGCTGGAGACCATTGCTGATTAAAATAACTCTAGGGATCTGATATATTATCAAGTGATGTAGATAATGCTCATAGAATTAACAGAAGTTATACGGTAGTTGTACTTTTGTTAATACCCACCTCGTCCCATATTAAAGCAAAAAAGAAAATCCTAAAATGTCTAAATTACATGAATCCACTAACATCTAGTTACAGCTGTATATATATAAAATTAGCTTACATATGCCAGTAGATAAATAGTTGAAATTAATAGAAGACTTTTCTAAGAAGTGTGAAATACCAAAGGATAATTTAGGTAATTTAGGTGATTTGTTTCAGCCAAGGATAAGATGCTTTAAGAAAGAGACGTAGCTAGCAAAGATACACTTCTATATCTTGCGGCCTTGTGGACAGAGAGATTACTTTATTATCCAGCTCTGCCTCATGTTTGTCTAAAAATAAATGTAAGGATGGAATGTGCTACAAATCATTCAACTTTACATCACAGTATTTTACAGTTTTCATTAACAGTCTGTGATAGCCTTTCGAGAATATTGCAAGATGAACAGATACTGATTTTAAGACTCTGGACATTCTGTAAGAACACTAATGTGAAAAATGGATAGGACTAGTGTTCCCTCTAAGCTACACAGCAGCACAACTTCACAGGTGATTATTCAGCCCTGCTCAGCCAGAGGCTCAGGGTGCACTGAGCTGACTGACTGGGAGGGGCTGTTTAATCACCTGTGAAGCTGTGCTGCCATGCAGCTCAGAGGAACACTGAACAGGACCTTCTGCAAATAACATTTTCTTGTTCTCAGTAGTCAAGAAAACAGCACGTAATTTCCACTTTTCAGAGTTCCTAAATTTTTTTATTAATCATTGCTTTATGTCTTCTGCATTAATTAAGATACTTTCATGACCACAACAAGTGCCTCCTCCTTACGGTGTTCCTTAAACACAAAGAACAGTAAATTAATGATTCTGAAGTAGACTATATATTCTAGTCTCACATACTAGTGAATGGACACATGCACAATTATTATTTTAGGTTCTTAAACAACACAGGAAAAGGATTGTTTGGTTCTTACAAAAATTCTGCATACTTTGCTTCTCCAGCTATTTCCAAAGGACAGGAGATACCTGATATGATTTTATTATTGAATGTCTGGGACTCCTCAGCAGATAAATGTGCACAGTGCAGTTAAGCCATCTTCAATCAATAATTACCTGGGGGCTTCCTCAAGCTCTCCCCTTTTTCCCCATCTAGGTCCCCCAGCCAATCCATTGCTGGAGACCTCTCATAGGGGGGTTGAGGAGGGCAATAAAAAGGGGATTCTTCTCTGCCCCTGTTTGATTCCTTAACAACTCCCCTCCTTTTTACATCCTTTTCCAAGCCATTCATCTGGTCCCAGGATACCTTTCTTATGGAATACATACATTGGACATCTGCTCCATACTTACATACTGAGTGACAACATACAGCCTAACTCCTTCATGCCACATATTAACAAAGCCCTAGCCTCAACCCACTGTTGGAAAAATTAAAAAACACTCATACAACTTACGCAAATATAGTGGTGGAGGGAAAATTCCTTCCCAGCTCCTATGGAGAGGAGAGGCTAGTTTGAGGCCTAAGCAAGAAATGCCAAATTTGGTCAAGACACCACTTATAAGGTGGGGGAGGGTTGGTGCAGCCTCAGTTTAGTCCATGTAAAAAGAGGCTCCCCTATCCTAGATTGCCTCTTGTGAAGCTTTCTGTCCTTCAAGTTCTTAGGGCAGGGGTAGCCAACCTGTGGACCTTGAGCCACATGCAGCTCCTTGCTCACAGAAATGTGGCTCTCAGGGCTATGGCTCATTCAGAGCCACATGCCCACTTTATGCATGCATCTCAGCTCCTGCAGGGAGAAGTGCGTGGCTGTGATGGTGGCAGCTCCGGCGAGACCCAGGCATTGGGTTAGAATGGGAGGGACCTGGGGGTGCCTGGCTCTGAGGGAGGGGGAGGGCATTGGGTTAGAGTGAGGGGAACTGGGAGGGCCTGGATCTGGGGGAGGGAGAGGGCATTAGGTTGGGGAAGGGGCTTGAGGTGCTTGGCTCTGGGGGAGAGATATGTGGCTCTTTGCACTACTATCCACAGCTCTTTTGGCTCTTCGTGTCTAACTGGTTGGCCACCCCTGTCTTAGGGGATGAGCCAACAACCACACTAACACTTCCTCCCCTTTTTCAAGTTTCTGATCTCTCTCCATTCCATCCCACTTCTCCTGGCCAGCAGTAAAGCATTATTTTTTTCATTCAGCAAGCTGGACAAAACCCTGCTTGAAGGTGCAATGAGGTCATTCTCTAAATCCTACTAGCATCTAATGGCAATTGTAGGCTATACTGAAATCTTACTTGAAAATATCGAAGTGTGTCAACATGATTTGAACTTGACAGATCTTTCCATTCACCTGTCGTTGTTCTATCTATGGATAAGACCCATAACTGAGGAAGCTATCACTGGCTATAAGTCCTCTATGAATATTTAACCATTGGTACTGTGGGGCTTCAGGAACAGGAAGTGAGTTATGTTATTTCAAGGTCAATACAAAAACTACAAGCCTACTACACAGGAAGTTCTCAATACTAAAATGACTATCACTTGGGAAACATGGCTCAGTATTTCAAACAATCAAGAGCATTTTAAGGTATGGGAAGGATCCAAGTGATAAAATGATGTCACACATGCTGTGCAGCAAAATGGAAAGGAGTATTGCTTGTTGGAGCTATCATAAGTCAGTTAAAAACCTATGCACTACAGGTCCATTTCCATGAATAGGATCAATTTATATTCTAGCAGTACTGTCTAAAATGATTCTATAGTTTATGTCCTATTACATTGGGTGAACATGTTAAAACAATATACATTTTCTACCAATGTTTACTCCCAATTTTCCCATTACTCATCAGTTAAATTGCATTTCTGAAATGCAGTCAGCTCTATACAAGTTGGAAAACTCTTTCATTGAGCTGTTTTACAATCCACTTTATATATTTGAAAACTCAACAGCCAATATTACTTAAGCTATCTTTTCAAACAATTCCCAGCAAATACAGACCACCTGTTATTTATTATAGAGTGAAGTATGGGCAAGGCTTTTTCTAAACAGTGAAGATGGATGATCCCCAATACACGGATTGGACAAAGTTTAATAGAAATGGGATAAACATTAGGTAATTAAAAAAATCATTAGAAAGTAATGAGAGATAGATTAATCTAACTTCTTGACACAATGCCACAAATATCTAACTGCCTTTGGCAGAATATACAGAAAAAGAAGTCAAGAACTTCTTTCGGCATCCCTGTATTCCTCATTTTATAAGAACTAAGGGATCTTCTAAAAGAAGAGGTTTTTCCACATTTGGCCCCATATAGACAGAAAAGTCAGAAAAACCTCTTCTGAAAAAACAAGCAGAAAAAAGTATGTAAATTGCGGTTCGCAATTTATGTATCTTTTTTCTGAAGCCCCCGCCCCCCCGCTTCACCCCCACAGTATAGACATAGCCTTTATGTGTAAGTTGTAATTTTCTTGCAATGCTTCCAAGTTTAAAAAATTGCCTGTTATGGTTCATAAAAATTTGGAATACTCTTGTGAAAATTGATTTCTATGAGTATTTAAAAACACTGAACAAGAACAGTATTTGTCAAGTGCAAATTCTGAACTAAGATTGAATAATACATTTAATAGGACAAGGAAAATGACTCAGAATATGGCTGCACACAATAAAAGATAGTTTTTTCAAAATGGTGTACAGAAGAAAGCAAGTTGGTCGATCGGATTGCAAGTATCAGAGAAATTGAATGGTCATAAGATCCCACACAACTGGATGTCTCAAACAGTTACATTTATTGTACATATTATTGCTATTGTGGAATAAAGAAAAATCAATTTAGTTTTAGTGTACAAGTGGTATGTTTTCAAAGTGGTGCATAAGTACCTGCACAACCCTTTCTAGTGCATAGGGAAATTGCTGCAGGTCATACATTTGAAACTCAGATAAAATGTCTATGGTAATAGTACTCCCAGCTCCCAACAGTCTTGGTATCATAACTAAATACTTATACTTTCAATAAAAACTCACCCCATCTGGTCTGCCATCCGAGGCTGTAACAATCAAAATGTAGCGATCGGTGCTTTCTCTGTCCAAGGGCTTTCCTAAGGCAAGAAGTCCAGAACTAGCAATAAAACGAAACATAAAATATTATTTCACAAGTCTTGATAACCTACAAGCACTTTTGTTCTACTACTGTTTTAGATGAATGTTCCTCTTTCATTAAATATCCCTTAAGCTTTTAGAATATATTAAAATAGGATGAAGGTTTTGAGTGGGTTAATAATTGTAAAATGATGCGTGTATTTCTACTATTTTATGTTGTATACATATATAATTTATATTAAAGTAATGATCTAATGATGTACAGGATTATAAAACAGATAGTTCCAGACTGAACACAAGGCTGTTATTCATTCAAGGGGTTTGTACTACTGTCATAAATCACAAAAGAGACTCAGGCAGAGTCCTGATAGCACTGACAGAAAAACATTGTGTTCTTTTGCAACCTAACAGCTTGTTAAGCTTTTTTGACCACATCTGTACACTGAGCAAAAGTCTTCATTGAGCTATCTACAATGACATCTAGGTTCCTTTCCTCAGTTGGAAAAGTCAATTAGAACCATGGAAGGCGAACTGGTAGTTTTGTTTTGTTTTTCCCTTTCTCTTCCAGCATGCATTGCTTTGCATATAATGGAAATGTATACATCTATAATTTTTATTAAAGTAATGACTGAATGATGTACAAGATTATATAACACAAAGCTGTCATTCATTCAAGAGATTTGACATCATGCCTTTATCATCATGTTACCATTCACCAAGTTTGTTTAACTCTCTTTGATATTTCTCACAGCCCTCTCCTGTCCTGGACAAATAACTTGGTTTTACCTGCAGATTTTGCCTCATTACTCTGCCCTCCTACTTTCCTGATAATTAATAAATACATTAAACACAGGTGATGGTACAAATCTTGAGGAACCCCACTATTAACCATTTCTTATCATGAAAATTGAACATTAATTCTAGTCTTTGTTTTCTGTCTCCATGCCTGTTTTTGATCCATGACAATACTTTGCCTCTCACCTTATGACTGCTTAGCTTCTTCAGTAGTCTCTTGTGAAGGACCTAGTCAGAGGCCTTCTGGGAACTAAATAAGTGCATATTACGTCTTAGTTATCCACTATTTTACTGATACACTCAAGAATTATGAGAGATGGATTTTCCTTTTCAGAAGCCTTGCTGGCTAGAGCAAATCATTTTGAGATCCCCCAAGTATTTAGTTATTCTGTTTTTTATTATTATTTCAACCAGTTTGACAAATACAAATGTAAGTATCACAGTAATTGACCCTTGGAACTATTTAAAATGCAGGTGTAATATTTGTTACCCTTAATCCTGTTAGTTTTTCTTAAAGAGATGACACATTTTTATTTGTTGCTTAGCCACTTCATTCTTAACCCACAGACTTCCTTTTGGATTTCTATTATCCATTTGATTCAGCAGCTCTTCTTCTGGCACCCCACTCTCAAAAAATACCTTCTCTTTATCACCAGAAAGAAGCAGTTCTAGGGTAGGAAATTCCCCATAATCCTTGTCAATGAAGACTGAAGTCTATTAGAGAGTACTAGCACTTTTGCTTTGGTCATAAAATTAGAGAAACCTTTCAATTAATACTAATAGGGTTCAGTGGAATAAGAATAAATGGGAAGAATTAGGAGCTTTTCCCTAAAATTTAAGATAACATCAGTCTCAATCATAATAACAGGGGAAATTAAAGGATGATGTTAAATTATAGATCACTTATAGCTACAAAGCAAACAAAATGCAATGGCACATGGATCTCTAAGCGCTTCTTTAGGAGAAGGGAAGAACATCAAATCATTTTGATTCAGCAATAATTTATTACCAGAATTTTACTAAACCACTAAGGGAAACCTACATTAATATTATATATCTTACTTCCACCACTCTTTGCATCAGGCCACTAAACTGGGGAACTCAATTAGTAATTACATTAATCTTATTAAAGACCATTTAACTTTTAACCTCAAAATTATTTCAATATTTTTATAAGTCCAGAAAGAAAAAACAGCAATAAATTTCCTGGGATAGCAATTTTCTCCCTTCCAAGGTTTAAAAAAAGATCAGATGTCTATTAAAGGGCACAAAAGAGAAAACTAATTACTGCATTTAAACAGAACACATATCCCCTGTCATAAATAGAAGCTGCAAAGGAAGAGTCTAGCTTACCAGAAGAGCGAGGAAAGGGTTAAGCTAACTTTGGAGATGCACCTGAGAACTTTGGAGATGCACCAAAGATGAGGGAGGGGGCTTTGGACATTCAGCCGATGAAATGCAGATGAGGAATTTCAAATGAGAGGGGTTTTTTTCCCTTTGTCTTTGGAGCAAGCAGCAGTTTCCCCCAAATACAGAGCAAATACAGAGCAGGAGACATGGACTCTCCCAGGAACAGACTACTTTAATTCATTAAAATGTGTAAGTAGGGAAAAGTTTAGATAGTTTATCAGGTTTTATTGTTTTCCTTGTTTGGGGGTCTGGAAATCATGTCTGAGCTGGTTAATTGTTTTTTTCTCTTCTCTTTTGTAACTAAGAATTTCAGCCCAGGGAGAATCCTTGAGTTTATTTCAATGTATGGTTTTTAACACCCAGTCATCTGCTTGCAACAGTGTTTTTTTTTTTTAATAATAAAAGTGTTTTTTATGTTCGATTAACTGGTACTGGTTGATTTTTGTGTCCTAAACCTATGTTCCTAAGTATGTTCGATTAACTGGTATTGGTTGATTTTTGTGTCCTAAACCTATGTTCCTAAGTGAAACCACATTACCTGGGAAAACCTAAGTTCCTAAGTGAAACCACATTACCTGGGAGAAGCAGAGCCACATTGTTCTCTGAGGATTATTTCTGTTTGTTTTCCCAACTCCAAGCAAGACGGAGGTTGGAGCAGAAGGGAGGACTTTGTCTCAGGGAAGGGATTCCAAGTGGTTTCTTTCCTGGAAAAGTGTTTATTTTATATTTTTAGAGATAGTTGGTGGTGGCAGCGATCCATCTCCTTTTTTTTTTCCTTTGGATCTCAGGAAAACTGAGACTGGACTAGTTTGTCTCTGGGAGTTATAGCAACAAGCTCTTATAGAGTTTATTCTGCTACCTGGTTTCCATCATCTACACTCGAAGTGCGAGGTTGGGGAATTGAGCCGTGACATCCCCACAACTGTCCTTGGTAATGAATCAACCATCATCTCAATGTAATAAAACTGTTTATGATAAAGGTTTAGTAATGGTCAAGAAAAAAAGTAATAAAATCGAAACAGAAGGAAACTGGGTTGGCATGGTCTGTATATGTTCTGCATGAATGTTGCCTATTAAGAAATTTGTTTTTTTATTGTGATAAAATGTTAATACAGGTAATCTGTTAAAATAAATTTCATTATTGCGATCCACATTAAAAATATACTTGTGACAAATAAAATGTCCACAAGAAATAGTGCTCTAATTCCACTTCAGTACAGCTGAAAGCTCGTTTATCATTTGTGAATTTTAGACTTCAAATGAATAGGAAAATATTTTTTTCAATTCTATTATAGATCATACTGCCATGTTCCAAGCAGTCTTTTCTTCCCCTTTAACATTTGTAATTCATCTATTCCAGATATGTCATGAAGATAACTGAACATACCTCAAGAAATGATTTAATTATGAGATTTTGTGTTTTACTCAGAGTCAAATGGACTGTGTGGTTTTTAGTTCCATGCATTCCATTGTCATTCCTTGGGCTTTAATCAAATATCTATCACTTTCCATGGGGAACTAATGAGGTTCCTAATTACCACAGATAAGATTCAGTTTATTTGCCAGAGGAGACAGAACTGAAGTTTAATTTAAAAAGCTCCTATGTCAGTCCTTAGAATGGAAGCATTATCTAGTTTTTTAGTGACATGAATGCTAAGGGAGATATACCAAAAACAGTAAAAAAAAAAGTTAATTGATATTTCATTCGGATATTAGACCATTTCTGAAGTCACAGAATGGGATTCTCTCACACTGGATTCTCAACACAAACAATACTTACAAATTCAAAGTACAAATTCAACACTTTGTGTTGAATTTATATACAAATTTGACACTGTTATCTTGGGCTTGAATAAAGACATTAATGGATTAATGCACTACAAATCCAATTTCCCCTGCCTTTGACATTCACATTTTCACAACAAAAGCTATGAATGGAACACATCCAGTCCCCTTAATTAGCTTCATTAACACAAGTCCTAGAATTGTTAGGTACTTCTTCTGCTGTTATATATATCTTGGATTCTGTTATTTCCACTCCAACTCATCAGATGAAGTGTGTCTTACCCATGAAAGCTCATGATCCTATACAATTGTGTTAGTCTTTAAGGTGCCACAGGACTACTCGTGTTTAAAGTTACAGACCAACATGGCTACCTCTCAGACTTTTGTACCACATGTCTTATTTACAATGTGATTTATAAATACTCATTCCCCACAGCATAATTAAGTATTGTCCCCAAATCTTTACCTATTGTGAGCACACGGGGCAGAGGAGAAACAACTTCACCTCTTGGGGTATGTCTACACTACCCTCCTAGTTTGAACTAGGAGGGTAATGTAGGCATACCGCACTTGCAAATGAAGCCCGGGATTTGAATTTCCCGGGCTTCATTTGCATAA